GGTGAGTGGCCCAGAATTGATTTTGGGTCAGGTGGGGGGGAGGCAGGAGGAGAAGAGGTCAATGGCCCAGGCAAAAAAAAGGTGTCCAAGTCCTGCTTTACAGCTTGTCGACAAAAATGCTCATGGCCCCATAGGAAACTGCTTTGTTCCCTCCCAGGTCCTGATAGCTCAGGTTGCATAATGCTTAAAGACTGACCAAGTTGACACGTTAAAAAATATTAACATTATGGAGAAATGCCAGTTAACATAGATCCTAGAGTGCAGGCAACAGCACAGAGCAAATTATACTTTCAAGCAACAAACCACAGTATCACATTCAGTATTTTAATTTATAACTTTAAAATTAACATGTTCTTTTTCATAGCTATAGCATGTGAAAGAGAAGATCAAACTTGAAATTTGAAGGGGGTTTTGAAACATACAGGAAGTGATTGTATCAAAGTTTCAGTGGGAAAGAATAGCAGTTTATGCATCTGCTTTTGCTACAGGAAAAATTATACATTTCATTAAGGCAAAGTCTACTCTACACCCCATATCCTGACCTTCCCCTCTCCTGGCCACCAGCTTTCAAACAAAGAGAGATACTTTTCAAGGGGAAAAGCCAGACAGTAAGTGATCATATGCATCCTCAAATCATAAGCTTAAATAGTTTGCTTATATGGACTGGACAGTACACATTCTTTTGGAGGACTACAAAGCTATAGACCAGGTACAAAGGATATATAAGTCACAATCATATCAGCACTTTGGGTACGTCTAGACTACCGCGTTTTGTCGACGGAAGTTTTGTCGACAGATACTGTCGACAAAGAGCGTCCAGACACATTGAGTTCTGTCGACGAAGCAAGCTGCTTTGTCGACAGAACTCTGTAGTCTGGACGCAATGTTACAGGCAATAACACCTTCTGTCGACAGAGTTCTGTCGACAGAAGGTGTTATGCCTCATAAAATGAGGTATACCAGCGTCGACAAAACTGCTGAGTTCAGTCGACGTTATGTCGACAGAACTCAGCGGTAGTGTAGACGCTGATATAGTTTTGTCGACAAAAGTCCACTTTTGTTGACAAAACTAGGTAGTCTAGACACACCCCTAGAGAGTAGATTTAAAACCATAAGTTACCCCTGGACTTTTCATAGAATGTTGCAATATTGAAGGAAGTCAATTGGAATTAGTTTTAAAGATATTAGAAGTTGTTGCACTTGTTATCCCTACCCATGTTTGTGATTTTACAGCTATGTTTTCCTATTTTTAAATCTTGACCTCCACTCAAACACTGTAGGAACAAGCAACGTAAATACTGGCAACAAAATGCTGTCAAATATTATCAACTAGTCAGTAGAAGACTGACAGAAGTTGTTGCTATTCCAGTTAAATGAGTCCTCAGACCTCATAAAGGGAAAATTTACTACGCATACAAAATTTCAATCATCTTCTGAACAATGGGAAAAGAGTGCAAATCTTGTCTCTTGATCTGACATGTGAACATCTGTAGCCTGATTATATACCTGTACACACATTAGCATGGAATCATTTAATCAATAGATATTTCAGGTTATCCGTAACTATTTTAGGTTTATTTTAACTGTAGCAACCATGAGCAATGTGTGTTTTAGATAAGTCACTCCAGAACATACATTTCAGACATCATAATCAAACTCTTAAACTGAGAATCTTCAGGCTATAGTAGTATCTTGGATTTATTACATGCAGGAAGTTGATTGACAAAAACAATAGAAAATTAGAATAGTTTTAGCTTCTAGCTTTTGTTAACTGAAATAAAAACTGACAAAAAGGAGCAGCTATGAAGTCATACAATTTGATGTCCATATTCAGAACTGCTTGCCTTCTCAGCATATTTTTTGGTAAGACAAGACTTTGTTTACAAAAAGAGCTATACTTTCAAAAATGCAAACATTCCCTTTCTTCCAACTAAGAAGCCAAGAAAAGCTTATTCAGAACAGATGTTAATGACAGAATTTTAAAGGGGTTTATTGCACACTTGATATATGTTGGTATCAACAGGGGAATTTTAGTGCAGTTGGATGGATTCTGTGACAATGAACTGTAGTAACCAGAAAAGCAGTAATGGTTAAAAAAAATCCCCCAAAAAACCCCACAAAACTTTATTCAACTGGAAGCATGAACCTTCAGAATACCTACAATTCCTCACCTGTATCCTGGTTCTATGCTGCTAAAGATTTTAGGAAGTTATGGTTTTTAAGCACATGTATGTGCATTGGGAGACTTCACTGTCTAACTGTAAATGATCAGACAAAAATAACCTTTCTTCCCCATTCATAACCTAAGAGCAATACATTAATTCTCACAGAATAAGCCACCTTGAATTCTTAGAAGTAAACAAAAGAAAGCATGAATGCAGGATTTTAAAATCATGCTTCTCACATTTGTAGTTTAAATTTAAAACTCTTTTCCAGACAACTGTCTTCTCTCAAGGAAATAGATAAATTACAACTATATTTATTTTAAAGAAAGTCACAAACTTGGACAATCTGAATCATAACAAACACTAGAGAGGGGTAGGAAATCAGGTCTTTCAGAAAAGACTGACTTTCTGGAAATTGTGCACAACTAGGTTTTGATTGTATAATTCTTACTCTTATGAAAAGCTCCACTGATCTCAATGAAAGTATTAATTTGAGTAAGCAATGAAGAACTGGGACCAAAGGCTGTGTCTAAACTACACCCTTCTGTTGGCAAAGGGATGTAAATTAGACACATCAAATGTGCAAATGAAGCTGGGATTTAAATATCCCGTGCTTCATTTGCATAATGGAAGCCGCTGCTTTTTTCTGAAACCAGGTTTTTTGAAAAAAACCCGCAGTTTAGACGGGGCATTTTCAACAGAAATACCCCATTTCGAAAGATTGTGTACTCCTCAAAAAAGTGGGCATTTCGAAACGGGGCATTTCTATCGAAAATGCCCCATCTAAACTGCAGGCTTTTTTGAAAAAGCCACATTTTGGAAAAAAGTGGTGGCTGCCATTGTGCAAATGAAGCACAGGATATTTAAATCTCAGCTTCATTTACACTTTCAATGTGTCTAATTTACATCCCTCTGCAGACAGAGGGGTGTAGTTTAGACACACCTAACAAGTCTAGAAGATTTGCTGTTTATCACTTGCCTAAAATATATTTGTTTTTAACATCTTATAAAGTGCACTTGAGTTAATTAGATTTAAAAAAACAAACAGCATAGCTTTAAAAACAAATATACAAAGCCATTTCACATCCTATACCAGTAACAGTGTGTATGAACTTTAAAATGCCCCATTGCATTTTACAATTAAGTACCTGAATACTTACAGCTCCCTCATCAGTAGATGAATGTAGCTTAAGAAAGGCAGTAAATATAGCTGTCCACTCCACAAACTTACTGATGTTAACTATTGCAGACAGGAAGAAGCAGGAGCCTAAATTCAGGTTTTCCTAGGGAGTAACTAAATCAGTTCCCCACCCCCACACGCCCTCTGTGCCCACCAAATGGGAGTCAATTTCTTAAAATCCAGCCAGTCGTTTGGAATCCTAAATGTATATGAAGAATGTTTAGAAAAAGATCCACATTTTATATTTAAAATATAAAACTAAATATATTTACATCTCAATAAGATCTGACTAATCAGTTTCAGGACCATTTTGCACTTACTACTACATGAGAAAGCATGAAATTATGTTCATTTTTTTATTTAACTATATATTTGAATAGCAGCTTTTATCTCCTAGCCCCTTCTTAAGCTTTGATGTTCTGCAGCTCTCCTTATCTATTGCTTATTATGCATCAGTAATAACCTTTGTGTGGCTCTCAGTGTGTCCACACAGGATTTTATCTTTGTATCAGTGCCAGACTGGCACATTTATATATCTGCATCAGTTTCCACAGATGCAGAACAGGCATGTACATATAGCACATGTCTGAAGGAAGATTCCCTCCCTTTCTATAAATATTCAGTCTAAAAATCTACAGAAATGTTGTTGTTTTTTTATTTTCCACTACCAAAAGCAGGACCCATATGTACAAAAGGCAAACATTTACATGTCATTTACATGTCAACCCTCCAAACAACCAATTATTAATCACTCTAAGCAATGGAGTGCCAGATCTCCATAGAAATTCAGAATAACCAACATCTTCACTTATGGACCATTTAATTCATTCCTCTATCTTAAATATAGCAGGTTTGAATCTTTGTTTTGTATGCTAACGGGTAAATGTCTCAAGTACCAGAACTTCAGATCGCTCACTAGGAATTCATTTCAGCGATGGTACCTGCTCCCCAGCTGCCAGATTCTAAGCAAAAGTTGCCAAGTGATAGCTGAGTAATCAGTGCCAACACCTTCAAAGTAAAGAATCTGAAGTCTTCCTCTGTCCTTCCACATTCTGATCTGAATTTGTAAATGTCCAGTGCAAACACCATCTCATGAAACTGTATGGATTACTTAGTGTTACATCAGTATTTGAGACATTTAGCTTGTGAACTGTTCCCAACACACATAAAATGACTG